CGTCCTATTCTTGGTATCACTGTCCGAAACAATCTTTCTTCTTCCTCTTCCCATACGGCCCGGCGAAGTGACCTGCACCCTTCCCAACGAGTCCAGCGTTTGCATCACCGACCGCCTCACAAGCCGGTAGCTAGTACAATGCCTACTTCGGCTCGTTTGAGTRCAGCACTTCAAGGCGTCATCCGTACTCTTCGCGAAAAAGATAATCAACTCTTTCGAACCGAAGGTATTCGACGATGTTGGATTGTTCAGAGCAGTGACGAGGTCATGCTTGACCTCAAAAAGAATAAAGCTTCTCTTAGAGGTCTGGCCCCGCATACAGTTGATTTCACTACTATGTATACTAATCTTTCTCATCAACGAATTCTTGACAATGTGGCTAATGCCGTTGATGAGGCGCATGCCTACGCCATTGCACAGGTACTGATGAGTCGGTGAAACTCCGACAAAACAGTTTGTCACAGCCCCTCGTTTGTTTTGTTGTCCTCTTCTCCCTCCCTCTCTGCCTACGGTTTACCGGGCAGCTCTGTTTGACGATATATAGACAAAGAGAGAGAGAGAGAGAGAGAGAGAGAGAGAGAGGTGCGTAGTCATTGCCGATCTTGTGCAGATTGTAACGATCATGCAAATGATCTACTACGGCACGCAGCCAAAAAATTTTCATTCTTATTATTAGTTTTTAAACGAGGCTACTTCACTGAGAAGCATTGGCCTGCGAGAAGCAGTGGGACATTATATTCTCCCCTCTCTCTCTCTCTCTCTCTCTCTCTCTCTCTCTCTCTCTCTCTCTCTCTCTCTCTCTCTCTCTCTCTCTCTCTCTCTGTGTCTGTCTGCTGGTCTACAGCTGCTCTAGCAGCCATAACTGCCACCTCCCATTTTCTTCCTCTCTCTGCCTTGGCATTTCCTTTCTACTCTGCGGCGCTTACTGGCTTCATCCTAATAGAACGCCCGATCATAATAGCCGTATTTGGGGCAACTTTCAGTCTAGATACAGCAACAAGACGGTAGCCAGCGCTGGCTCTCACCTGCAAGCGGAGACGCCATGTATCCCATTGAGATCTGCGCCCCGATGTAGGTACATTGTCTAGATACAATATCGGCACACTGAGTCTCCATGCACCTATACCATAATCGTAATCAGGGAAAGGGGAGAGCATGTGCGACGATGTAGAGGGCAGGAGAGACCCCTTTGGGAGCAGGGATTCTCAAGATACACACAATGTGCACCTAAGCAACTGCTACGTCCCACGCAATGTTATGACCTCTTGAGTTTGAACCGGGAAGCAGACGAAGCAACAGCGCGCCAGAGTGAGCAAACTGCGGAAAACGGCGACAAACGGTGGGCACGATACAGCCTGCACAGGTCTTCCCACACACATGCCACTATGCCAGACCTCGAAGGAATAGGAATAGGAATAGGAGAAGAGGAAGCAAACGGGTGAAAACGGCGACAAACGGACAGTCCACCTCGGGCGGCGTAGTCTGCAGCTCTTCGTCCAAGATCTTCAACGCTTCACGTTCTGATGGAGTCGATCACAATCACACACAACAACAACAGCAAACCATTTGTTAAATTAAAAAAAATAGCCGTACAGTACTAACTAATTATAGTTGAATTAAAAAAAAAAAGCACCCGTACAGAACTAACAAATTATAGTTGAATTAAAAAAAACAGTAGCCGTACAGTACTAACTAATTATAGTTAAAACTGTTAAATTAAAAAAGTAGTCGTGCAGTACTAAGTGATTATAGTTGAAATAAAAGAGTAGCCGTACAGTTACCACTTTAATTTTAGTAAAAGGTGCGCTTTAGATGCTCGTGGATCAAAACTCATGCCAGATAAAAAAGAATTCGGTTATAGTTTTCCATGTGATGGACCGGGAAGAGGTGGTACTTGTGATATTTCAGCTTGGGATGC